AGAAAACAAATCACGGGACGGGTTAAGAAGTTACAGGACGGGTTATATTTCGGAACTAAGTTATATGGTGGACGAGTTTGAATTAATATTTATAAAATTTTAAAAATATCGTTAACATGCCGCTTTAATACAGATTAAATCTTCAGTTTATTAAAATATAAATGTCTTAGAGAATGATATGATTTGTACGCTTTTATATATAATAAATAATCATTAAATTTTAAAATAAAAATAAATCACGGGACGGGTTAAGAAATTACGGAACGAGTTATATTTTGGAATGAGTTTATATGCGGACAAATTTGAATCAATATTTATAAATATCATTAACATGCCGCTTTAATACGGGTTAAACCCTCAGTTTATTAACAATTGTCTCGTAGACTCGTGGTATACCGTTACTTAATAACAATTGTAAACTATAATATAAATAAATATTTTATAAAGAGATACAATTTACAAAATATTCTTATATTAACTTTAAAAATATCATCCCGCGGTGTACTGCGGGTTAAAATCTAGTTAATAAGTTAAAAAAATATCGATAAAATTAGAAAATTTATCAAAATTTTGCATTAAAAATATAAATGATAATTAGTTTAATACAAAATTTAATTATTTTTTTCATCTGGATAAAATATATTAGATATGTTAAGTATTCATTACATCACAATCTTGAAGAAATTCAAGATAAAACTAGCTTAGAGAAACGAAGTAACTTCTCTAAACACCAAAAAATTTAGTTTTTATATCGATAGTTAATTTGAAACAGATAGAGTGTAACATATATACATTCTGTTGTGTGAATACGATTAAAATAACAGGAATAACCAAAAGTCAATTTTTAAATCACGCAGAACTAAGCTGCAAAAGTCAAAAGACGATTCCAAAATCAAAAGGTTTTACTACAAAACATGTCTAGTTATGTATTTTACATGTAATTAAATCCTTTTTGTATATGTAATTGTAAAAAGAAAAATACCAATATAACATTTTTCTTCAAATCACATCTTCAATATGATAATACACCTAATATCCCAATAGTATTTATCAAAAAAAAAAAAAAAGAATAGACTACATATTATGTTCAAAATTATTCTCTACTCAGTTGAAACATTTAGGGTCTAAATGGTAACCGAGGAATCTGGCTGAATTCAGCTGAATTGCTGAATTTGGCTGAATTTTTAGTGATTTTCAGCTGAATCTGGCTGAATTTTTACATTTCTAAATGGTAACTGCTGAATCTAGCTGAATTATTTTGTGATTTTTGGTACCATCTGTCAAAATAATTAAGATTTTAACTGAAAAAATATCATCAAATAATTATGAATATTAATAGAGTACCAAAGAAGATATCTAAATAAAATAAATAAAATCATCAAATGGTCTAATTAATTGTTATACTAATAAATAAATACTAAATTATCTAAACTTATTACAAATATAAATAATTTTTGAACTATTAAAAATAGGGGCTTTTGCAAAAATGCCACTTTTCAATGTCATTTTTCAAAAATACCCCTTTTTTAAACCTTATAAAAAATGCTCTTAAAAATATAAGATTTACCCAAATATGTATGTAATATTATTAAAACATACACAAACTACAGGTCTATGTATCTAAAATCTTATAAATACTTTATAAATACCTTATAAATGCATTTTAAATACCTTTAAAAACCTTTAAAATATCTGGTAAAACCTTTGAAAAACCTTAAAAATCCTTTAAAATAACTTGTAAAACCTTTTAAAACACCTTATAAATCCTTATAAATACTTGGATCGAGTCTCCAAGTAGTGATTACAATCCATAAGCCCTGATTGGATCGAGTCTTCAAGTAGTAGTTACAATCCATAAGTACCTTATAGGCATTTTGAAAAGGGACATTTAATTCAGATTTAAAAAGGGGCATTTTTGAAAATGGACATCTAAAAGGAACATTTTTGAAAAGGGGCACAACAAAAATGGTATTTTTAACAATTTCCCTTAAAAATATGTAAATAATTAATGAAAGAAGCTTTGTCAAAGCATTATTGGAAGATTAATTTAAAAAATTAACATGATAATATAATAAGATTATATAATTGTGTTTTTTTTAATTGTTATCTAGTAGTTTAATCAATAATATGACCTGGAAAATTAAGAAAATTATTAAAAAAAATCTATTTTAAATAATATTTTAGCATAGGTGTGAGTTGTTTTTATGAAATTTTTAAAATTATTTTAAATTATCTAAAAATTAATAAAATTATCCAAAATCATCTATAGTTATCAGAACATGAATTCGCTTCTTGCCTATTTTATTAGTGGTTTTATGTATTTGAATTATTCATATATCGCATTTGTATAATCTGATCTATTTTAAAATATAAATTTGATGTGTAATTTTTGATAATCCAAAATATATCAATTCGATGTGTGTACACGTTATTATCCAAATTTTTACCAGAAATGACTGTATCTACATATCTGTTGGTATTAAAAAAAACTGTTGAATCTGGCTGAATTCAGCTGAATTTAGTTTTATGCAAATGGTGACTGCGGAATTGCTGAATCGGGCAGAATCCAGCTGAATGGTTTTTTGATATTACCATTTAGACTCTTAATATCGTTAAATACATTCAATTTTTTTTTTTTTAATATAAATTTAGCACTGTAAAAGATGTCTTGATTGGTGAACTAGTGGTATGACGAATCATATAAAAATAATGTTTAAATACAATAACTAAATCATTACATGAAAGAAAATTATTTTGTCAAACTAGTGAATAACTTTTCTTATGCGCGCGCTTCGTAAATTAATTATACCGTTCCACATGCTACGAATGAAAACTAGAATATGTTATCTTGACTTACATATGTCAAGATATAATCATGGAAAATCATTGATTGACAAAATAAAAGTTTAAATAAAAATTTGAAATCATAGAAAATCATTTTATTGGAGGAAAAAAGAGAGAAAAGGAGTAAATAAGGAGAGAAGGAAAAAGAGAAAGACATGTGGAGATCACATGGGATTCTCTGCGCATTACTCTGCTCACCTCAAACTTCTAATCCATTGGTTGTGTAAAATAATTCACGTTTACCTTTCTCTGGCTACAACATTTTTATCAACTAACAATTTGTCAATTTCCATCGTCTTACTATGTTTAGAATTTTATTTATAGCTTTTTGGTTGTTAACAGTTTTACTAAGTATTTTATACATTCTTTTGTTCTTAATTATTAGGACCATACTCTTGAAAATTTACTAGACGGTTACCTTTGTGAAGTAGGAGAGTGAGAGTACCGATTTTTAGCGAGTTTGGATAGGTAGCATGACCGTTGCCCGTTGGGAACAAATTTAACTTAATTTCTTGTTGAAATGAGATTCGGTTTAGCTCGGTTTTCGGGTATGTGTAGATTCTTAAGACAATATGGCCATATTGGTTCTCCGGAAGATAAATTAGAATTTGTCCGCTCAAATGTTTTATAACATTCAAATCGAAATAAAATAAAATGAAGAGTCGACAATTGGAAGGAAGTAGAAGTGATTGTGTTTTCGGCCGAAAGCAATCATGTTGATGTTTTGGTGAGTTTAGAAATGTGGTTCAAAAAATGGAAGTGATGTATTCGGAATGAGTTATAGATCTTCAAAAATGGATGCGTATAGGACATGTTGAATCTCAACCCGTATAGGCGTATACTATGAATAGTGGAACAAGAACTATAATAAATTAAGCAACTTAGATATCCGTAAACTTCACACATTGGCAATCTCCTAATTCCTAAGTCCTTCCTAACGGTAGATATCATATGTGGTTTTGATAATCATATGAAATCTTCATTACACATTTGACTATATTTGTACGTAGGTACATGTGTCGGCATTTGTGTGAAAGATTGAGCATATGAGAAAAAATATCTAGAAATAGCACAAAGATCGATGAAGAAAAAGGTGATTTGGGTAAAAAAAACAAAAATAGAAAGTGAGACCCCAGTAGAAAGGTAGATGTAAGTGTTTGGTGTTTGTCGTCAGTAATTAGAACCGGAAAGGCAAATTCTTGACTTTTTCGTATCATTGTCATGTGTCATGTGCTTATTCATATCATAACTACCAATGTGCTTCAAAAATATCTACCATGGAGATTTCAAAAATATCTTCAAGTTTATGGTCAGAAATCGTTTTTTGTTTAGTTTCTAGAAATTAGTTTGGAATGTGTAGAACTGTTTCTATATAAAACCATAAGAAGTTAGTCAAAGATCTGTCTATTTTAGTTTTATTGAGCTAGCCATTAGTACTAAAAGAACCAAATTTGACTTGATATAGTTTAGAGCTTTGGTTCTCTACTTTCTTAGGTGAGTTTTTTTTTTCTTGTAGATTCTTTAGGTTTAGAATGGGAAGCTATTGGAAAAATATGTATCATAACAAGAGTCAAATATAATCTACCGACTGAAATCTTCGTAACCGAGGATACCGACGAACACGAGAGACCCTCGAAACTCGTTGGAATGGACAAGAACGGAAAACTCAAGCCGATTATATCATGTTGTAGCCATTAGAACACTCTTATTAACACTATAGTACATTTTTCTAACTTATGACATTAACATGATAACATTTTTCAATAACCAAAGATCATGAAACAAAGCATAAACTAATTCATGGAATATATATTATAGCCACCATGTAAGATATACAATGACTAAAGTAAAGGGTGTAAATAGTTCAATAAATTCAACTCTGGCCAATACATCAATGACCATTGAATTTAAAACTACTAGTCTCCACATAAATTTACTACTACCTACTACGTAAAGTCGTAAATTTATCTCTACATTTATTATAACCGGTTGAACTATTTTGAAAATGTAAAAAGGAGAGAGAAATGGTAAAACTGTTGTAAGTGTGTGAACAAAAGAGATCACGTGGGAGGATAAGAAAACGAATTGATGGGTTCATGAGAATGCTCTTATCGCGGATCTTGCCTCTCTTGACCACTCTCTCTCTCCCTTTCTCCAATATTATTTACTTTTAAATTTCATTTTATAATTACAATTCCTTAAGAAAATATTAAGAAATTAGAAAGATCGTTTTTGTGTTCACATGTGGTGTATAAATACATAGAAGCCTCTTCAATCCAACTCCAAAAGAGAAGCATTTTCAAGAAGAATTCTTAAGTTCTAAACAAAACAAAAAAAAAAAGCATAAAAATGGCTTCATGGAAGAAAACAATTGCAACACCATTCAAGAAAGCGGCAACGTTCTTTAACAACCCGCAGCAATCACCGCACAACCGCCACGCAAACGCAAAGGCGAGAGAAGAACATGAGAGACGAACGGTGCAGGAGCTTCAAGGTGATGTCATGGCTTGTGGTTATGAAGATGTCCTCGTCATGTGGTCAATTCTTGACAAGTCAAACTCTTCAAACAATCTCTCTTCTTGATTAGAATGAGAAAGTGTCCTCTTTCACGTAATTACGTGAACAAAGGAATCCGAAATGTCTCTTTTCATTTTCTCTCTTTTTTTATGTGTATAGGTTGTATAAGCCCGCCATGTCTCTCATATTTCCCCTTATCTTTATGTGGTCGTGGCTTTTTTAAATTTAGAACTTTAGTGAATTTTTATCCGATGTCTAGTTTGGATTCGGATGTTAGTAATCCCTGTGATGATCTATCTAATTTCACGGTGAGATTTTTCATTTTGGAACAAATGAATGAAGTCTTTACATGTTGTTGGCCTTTAATTGCGGTTTCATTTGTATAGTTTTGTTTATTTAAGCGGTTTACGAAACCATAGAATAAATACTTAACTAATCACGTTGAAATTGTAACCATAATGGTTTAATAAGAAATAAATATAATTAGTGGTGTATAACAATGTAATAATTCGTTAAAAGATGCAGCTTATAAAACTTTCTATTATCTCAGTAACGGATTTTTAAGTCTCATGGGGGATAATGTTATCCACACTCTCTTATCCAATAGCCTTTCAGACGCTAGACTTGAGCTCATTGATTGCCAAATCTTTTGGAATTTTATAAGCAACCCCAAAGACAATTAATTTAAAGTTTTTAACTCAAGTGGACCAATTCTGTTTTACAGTTTTTAACTCAAGTGGACCAATTCTGTTTTTACGTTCGTTTTTTTTTCTTTTGGGGAAATGCATGAATGAGCCAAAACTAGATTAAAAAGGTGATTGCCGACAATTAAAAAAAAGAGAGGTGACTTTTCGATTTGTATGTGAAAATTTATCTCTATAATATATGTTATTTTTTAATGTAAAATTTTATGAAATTTGAGTGTTGGGTTGGTTTCATTGCTATCGGTTAGAGGAAATCAAACCAAGTTAAACAGATGTTTTGATTCAATACTATCATGTCTAATTGAGTCTACATGTTTGGTTATTTTGCCATTACATAATAACAGATCTTGAATAGTAGAACATGTGGGAGAAAAATCATAAACAACATATCAATAATCTTCATATGAGATTGGTATTCATAAAATATACATATATATGATTACAAAAATTCGAAAAAATAATTAAATAAAATTTTGATGACAGCCCTTAAACTTAGGAAAATCCCAATGATTGATCCCCAAAAAAAAAAGTACAGCCGTATAAGGCAGTGTGTGAGGTAATGTGATGAATGATAATAAGATGTGAAACTTTAATAAATTGAAAGTGGGACAACATGATTCCTATAACGTGCCTTGTCTTCTCCATCATCTTCATTAACATCCCTAACATGTTCAAACATCTGATCAGAGAGCTGGCCTCACTTCTGCAACCTAACATGGCCCCTTTAAAGGTCAAATCCATCTACAAACTTTTGGAAGTTCATGTACAAGCCTTAATAACAAACAGCTTTTCGATACAAGACACAAAACAACAACATAAGCGAGATATTTATAGCCAAACTATTGGTTTGATAAGGGAATCATTTATCTACTGTGTATCAAACTATACTTTAGAGTTTACATACCAAAAGCAAACATTTACTTTCTAGCAAAATAGTGAGAGTTACATGGATCTATATGTGAAGGTTGCTCTAATTAAGATCATTACGCCATAAAAAAAATATTTGAGTTCGTGCTATCAAGAAAATGTACAAAAACTTTTTTACATTTGAGTGACTTTCTTCGCGATTAAGACACATAATCATTCAACAAAATGATGGAATGGAAATTACGGAACCATCAAATGATACAAAATGAATTCATAAACATCGAACAAGGCTCCTAATTCTGCCGACCTTTTTGTTGGGCTTGAAAGTTATTTTAAACTGGCCCAATTTGCATGTAACCCCTTTTTCTTCTTTTTCTAATGAATTTTTTATAGACGACAGGGAAAAAAAATAATTATGTTTTCTACTTCAATCCCGTTAGGAACACTATGCAACGCGTTGAAATTCAAGGTTTTGGAGAATACCATGGAGTCTTTGACTATCATAGTAGAGTCCACGCCTTTGTAGATAATTGTAGCAGATTCTACTGCTTTGGAGACCATGTAGAGTATCTTAACGTTAACGACCCAAAGCTACTCAAGTCAAACATCTATAATTTTCCATATATGAGGACAATAGAATCAGAAAAAGGCCGACAAAAAAAAAAAATAGAATCAGAAAAAGAAGGGGGATGTGCCTTTAGTCAAGTGGTTAAGTCCATTTGACTCTGTGTTTTTTACCGGAGTTCGATTCCAGTAAGTCGCGTTACACCGCGTAGTAGAAATTGGCTATGGATCGGGCATTGTCGATCCAAAGATGTAAAAATAATAAAAAAAAAATCAGAAGAAGAAGAAGTGCATTTTTTACAAGTTTAACATAAATTTATCTTTTTTTGTTTTTTTTTTGTTTAGGATATTTCTGAATTCTGAGCATGAGTTTTTAAGGATAAATTACAGCCGTAACATAAACAAATCCCAAAAATTTTGTTGGACAAATCAGTTTTTTTCTAGTATTTATTTTGTAATTAAGTTGTATGCTAATAATAGATTTTACACACTAACATAGGGATTAAAATTTTCTTCAAAGAACAACAGTCAGTGAATTAAAAAAGTTAGGAAAGTTTAGGGTCCAAAAGAGAAATAAAGCAAATATATACACAGGAAAAAGGGGATAAGGCAAAAAGGATTTGCTTACACTTGAGCGAGAGCGAGAGCGAGAGAGTGAGATAAAATGGCGAGCGTGAGTGGGTGTGGTTCAGTGAGTCTGATAACTAACCGCAGTACGTTCCTGGGAAGCGGACTTCAACACCGTGCCGTTTTCCTGAAACCATGGTCGTCTTCTTCGCTTCAGTCTCGGTCCATGGTTGTTGAAGCCAAAACCAAAACCAGCAGCGAAGACCGAATCGCCCGCCATTCTCGTATCCGTAAGAAGGTGTACTGTTTCTTCTCGATTTTGATTTCATCTCTATCTTCTCTTGAGGATAGTGTTTAATTGTTACTTGGGACATGTTTTGGGGTAATTACTGTAGAATTGCGATGAAATTGGGTGTTTCATTAGACTTCGAATAGCCGAAGAGCACAATGTAACGATAGTTGAAGTCATGATGTTGCTTCTGCGTCGAATTCGTAACCAGTTCTAGTAAATTTGGGTTTTGAGTTACCGAAATCTGCGAAAATTGTGACATTTATTCTAAGTTGAGAGGAATTTGACAATGAAAATGGATTTGTGATTCATCAGTTTTCAGATTTCTTGATGTTGATGCTATTGTCTTGATGTGTCTTTATTTGTTACCATGGTTCTTGTTTTCTGTCTCATTACCGTTACTCCGACGCTCCCGTAGGTTAATGGTACGACAGAGAGGCCAAGGCTCTGTGTTTTCCGTTCAAACAAGCATCTTTATGTTCAAGTGATTGATGATACCAAGATGCACACCTTAGCTTCAGCTTCCACTAAGCAGAAACCTATCTCTGAAGAGTTTGACTACACCTCTGGACCAACCATTGTAAGTTCATCTTCAAATTAGAGAGATGAATCTCTATGGTAACCATTTAGCACGAGTCACTTGACACTCAGCTCGTTTTCTCGTTGGCCATTTACTGATATTCTTACGGTTTGGTATTGAGTAGGAGGTAGCAAAGAAAGTTGGGGAAGTGATAGCAAAATCTTGCTTGGAGAAAGGTATCACAAAGGTAGCTTTTGACCGTGGTGGTTACCCTTACCATGGGCGTATTGAGGCTCTTGCTGCTGCTGCGCGTGAACACGGTCTTCAGTTCTAACCGTCGTTTTCTTTCCTTCTTCCTTTATGAGGAACAGCTTATGAATGTAGAGAACCCATTTTCCCCAATTGAAATGTTGAAATTTTTCTATAATTTTGATATAAGCCTAAACCAAGGCCCTGAACAAACATGTATTCAAACATTTCACTAAAGTATCATAAGTTGCATAACAACAACTGAATCAAGCAAGGCAAGAGAAGAAAAAATTAATTAAATATAGCTTTTACGATTTTTGCATTTAATAATTTCTTAAAAATATATTTTTATTAAAATTATTATCTATCATTGATGTTTTAAAATTAATAAATTATAATTGAGTGAGAATTTTCTTATTTTTAACCAATGAAAAATAGAGAAACCTTGAACAAAATAAAGAAAAAAAAAAATCGAAAAACAATCTCCGACCAAAAATATTAAAATGGTAAAACCAAAAGGTCAAAGAAAGAAAGTGTAGCGCCAATCTAAAGATTTCCCGCGTCATCGGCAGGAAATGCTCACCGGACGGGAGAGCTTGCTCCGGTTGATTGGAAAACGCCGGCGATATCTCCCCAATCGCCAACTTCTTCTCTCCGCTCATACTCCGGTATAAATCTTTTTCCTCAAAGTTCCCCTTTTTTCCCCTAATTGTATCAAAGTAACATCCTTTATCACAAATTTCCCTAGAATTCGTTGAATCTCGAGGTCAACGACGATGGCAATCTTATCTCATTAGCCGGAGATGATGGTATTCTGTCGGATAATCCGACTCCTCTCGATGACCCGAGCAAATTCTCTGGTGGGTTTTAACTATTGTTTTAGTCTACATGCTCCATTAGGGATTTTGAAATTATTAACAAATTCCTCAACTTCCTCAGATGATTTGAGTCTATCCACAAGGAAGAAACGGAGATTAACTCAGACCACTCTTCTTCAGTCAAATTTCTGGTCAGTGCCAAAACAATTAGAAGATGGTTCTGAAACTTCTCAATTCAATTTGGTGCAAAGAAGTGACTCCATTTGCTGCAAGGTTGAAGATGGTTCATGTTCTCCAAATAGTGAGGAGGTTTTGAAAACTGTGACTTTAGATGAAGCCAATGGTGAGGCTATTGAAACCTTTATAGTTGGTAGGAAGTTCAGTGATGTTCAGGATTTAGAAATTGGGGGTAACATTTTCCTTTTGAGACATCCTGAGAATGTCAAGGATCGCAACGCTATAAAGGTTTTTGTTTTCGTTTCTTTTAACATTGTCTTCTTGAGTGTGAATTCTTGTCTCTTTATCTTGTTGGCTGCTGAAGACATTATATTTGCCATTTCACACTAGGTTGTGTCTGCAGACTCTGAAATGCTTGGGTATTTAACTAAAGATATTTCCCAGTGCTTGTCCCCGCTGATCGATGACTATGGCCTTACGTTTGAGGTTGGTGACTGATTTCTATGTCTTCTGGTTGTGCTTGCTCTGATATAAGCTGAACAGTTGAGATATACAACGTCAGGTGCAAATGATGTAGCTGTACATTCTTTGCAGGGAACAATAACATCTGTTCCAAAGAATTCTTCTGAAGCTGTTCCGATCAAAGTTGTTTGTCACAAGATGACATCTGATGGTTGGAAGGAATGTGAATTTTATGGAGATTTTAAACCTCTTTGGGAGAAAGTTCTTCAGGTTGTTGAGCATCAGATGCAATTTCCGCCTAAAACAACAAGATACCAGTTGAATTTCAACGTATTACTACAAGAGGTTCTAAGAAGCTGCTCTCACCTATTTACAGCCGAGGAAAGGGCATTCTTGGGTATTCGCCTATGATTATTGATTGCTTCAGATTTTGTTTGGTTTCCTTCTTGATGTTTTTGGATTGATGATCTAACTTTTCTATACTCTTGTTTCTTATTTTGGCTTGCAGAATCTTTCCCCACTCTTTCAGAGGATAGCCAGAGACTTTTCATCCGGCTTTACACACGAAAAGGTAGCTGTTCTATTACATTTCGTTTTTTGCATTACCCCTTGTAATTTTGTTTGTTTGCTCTCTATATGGTGTAAATTGTACTAGACAAACTGCTGTGAAGCTACGTTGAACAATTGAAAACAAGTATGCGGGCATCCTTAATGAATTTGGTGTCTCTTTCGAATGAACTTTCAGTGATCATTGACTGTTCTGATGGGCACTTGGGCAGTAGGTAGAATGATGTTAGGTTTTGTAGAAAGCTATATATGGTCTCCGGTGTAGTGTTTGGGCAACTGGAACTGGCTTCCTCGCTAATCTTTTCTTGTTTAGAGGTAGTTGCACTTCTGGTGGCCACGACTTTTGTCTGCTTCTTACAGATACGTTTGTTAGAAATTGTTATAAAACACTCTTGCTTGATTCACTGAAGCTGCAGTTCTTATGCACCTTATGATCTTTTGTGAAATGTTTGCATACCTGTTCATTCAGGACCTTGGTTTAGGCTATCAAATATTTCATACCCTGAGGTGTCTGATTCTCTTCAAGCCCTGAAGGATCTAACAGGTGAATGATATGCGCTTGAACACGTTCACACGCTGACACACACACACACTTCTAGTTGCTGAACTTTGCTGTGCATTGATAAAGCTAATATCTATATTATTTTCAGTCAGGAGATTTATGAGTTCAGTGAAGGACGCAAGTGAACTAGATCACCAAAAGATGAAGGAGATCACAGAGTTGCTTAACGTCACTGAACTCCGTGATATCTTATCTATTAACAAGGTTAGACCACACTTTCTTACAGATGTTTGCTCTGTTTATTGGAAGTGTTGGATGTCACAGTATGTCATTCTCTCATTGGTTTGCTTGCAATATGTTGGTGGTCCAGGTGTTCAGTTGCGGCTCAAGAAAGAGAGACCTTATTAATTCACTTTGTTCTTGTCACAACGATGGAACGAGGTCCGTTTGTTTTACTTTATAGTTAGATTTATAAAGCTTCTTTCCTTTCGTTGCAGTTTCTGTTTCGCTTTGAGGTTGATTTGTTTTGGTTAACTTTTAGAATAAATCTAGCAACAATAATTCTAGAAAGAACAGGACTATGTGCTAAGATATCCAGTACTGCAGAATCTCTCATATGGCGCGTTGAGGTGAAGTTTTGGTTTTTCTATGTACAGAAATGAGCCGATTTTATTTCGGGACGAGAGAAATAACTTTGGTTTTATGCTGCAGAGGCTTTTCTTTCTCAATGGGGAGCAAGATCTATCGTCTTTTGTTCTGCAGGATCTTGGTATTATTAAATACCCAACTTACAAATGCATTGACTCAGAGCAAATATTTTCGAATCGGACTAAGCTTTTAGCATATGAAGAGGTGTTTACTTGTCTATATTGAAAAAATGAACTGGGTTGATTTGTCTACAATATCTCAAAGCTTCAATTACAGGCCATTGAAGTGGCTCAGTTGATGGATGAGTCTCTTGACAATGAGCATTCTCGGACAGTGTTGAAATGCATCATGATTGCTGAAACCCGCATATCCAGTTCTTCTTTGGATTCTGCTCACGCTGCTGCATTTAATCGCTTTACAGCTTCATGGGTTTACTCAAAGGTGGTTCTCTTAGGAATTTCCTTTTTTGAGAACCACAAAAGGCATGTGAAAACAATCCATCTCGTCTTTTCTACTTATTCAGATTATCTTTGTCTTTTTGCCTGTTGTGATTTGTTTCTCTGGATTCAGGTACAACCAAGCAGTTTATCTACTGAGGCGATTGCTCAGCTGTTTTAATTGTGATGGGAGACGAGGATACTGGACAGTCAGGTTATCAATGGATTTGGAGCACATAGGACGTCCAAATGAGAGCCTTACAGTAGCAGAGCAGGGACTATTGGATCCTTGGGTGCGTGCTGGTTCAAGGGTAGCTTTGCAAAGGCGCATTCTTCGTTTGGCAAAACCTCCAAGACGCTGGAAAACTCCCACTTTTTCAAATCTCGTCGAAAACAAGATCCCCGAGGTTGTTCTTCTACTCAAAATGAAAATCTAAATATAAAGGTTTTCATCTTCCTACCTTGTTCTCAAATGTGCAATTTTGCATTTCAGGTTACTATTCAAGGGAGATCACTGAATTGTGAAGTTGGCATGAAAAACAGGTTTTATGGAGAAGACGGAGAACAATGTGGAGTCGAGCAGCTTGCATTGCAGTATTACAGTGGAGAAGGAGGATGGCAAGGAATTCACACAGAGAGTAGCATCTGGTTAACGATTTTCGGGCTTCTCATGTGGGACATTCTATTTTCCGATGTCCCGGGTGTTTTCCAAACCCGATTCCAGGTTAATGAAGCTCACTACTCGTTTCACTCAACGAAATAAAAGTCCTCATTTGATTTTTTCTATTCCCCTTGTGCAGACTGCTCCATTGGACTTAGAGACTGAATCCTTCTACCTAACCAGGAAAGAAACAATAGAGTCTCAGCTCGAAAAAGTTGCAAACGGAATGGCTGAAGAAATACTAATCATATCATATGAAACACACCGTGGAACAGCGTGCAGAGGAGTGGCTTGGGATCGATTTTTGTTAGAGGAATTGAGAGCAGCAGTGGCTTGTGTTGGAGGTATGTGTATAGCATCGCTGTGCCGGCATTTAGCTCAAGACTATAGGAGCTGGTGCAGTGGAATGCCTGATCTACTGCTATGGCGGTTCAAGGAGAATGGTTATGAAGGTGAAGCTAAGCTTGTGGAAGTGAAATCAGAGAGAGATAGGTTATCAGAACAACAAAGAGCTTGGCTTCTACTTCTAATGGATTCAGGCTTTAATGTTGAGATTTGCAAAGTAAGACCTGCTTCTTTAACTAAAACTTAATTATACAAATTAAAAGGATTTGTACAATAACACACGATTTGTTGGATAGTTACTGTTTTTTTTTTGTCAATAAAGAACACTTTTATTTTTTCTTTATGCAAAAGGGATTTGTTTTTTTATTTGTTGTTGATTTTTCTCGAGTGAATAATAGAAATTAGAAACACGTGTAGGTCGATATCTGAGAATAGTTGATGATGTTAGATTGATGAAGTAGATGTTGTGACTTGTTTGTTGTACCAATAAAAACAAGACTAAGTTTTGTTCTTCAATAAACTTTTCAAAGAGATTTGTAAATTTGGACAAAGTGTGTGGGTGGTCCTCACATTTTAGTAGATAGATCGTATATTATGCTTTAGTTTGCTTTTATTTTTGTGAGACTTTTTGGCATTTTGGCTTC